AATCTGGTGGTTATCCATAGGTATATGGATATGCTTGAAATCAGATATATACTAGGACGGGGAATTGCTACAGGAGAATGTACAAACTAGCTATTTGAACCAGATCCTATCTTAAACTTTCGAAGTCTCAGGAAAGCAAGAGTTAGCTCTCTTATGTCCAAAGCCTAGCTGCGAGCTCTATTCTTATGTTTCTAATGAAACATGCTTCTCGTTCTGTCTCAATCAACTCATGTACCACTAGAACTCCTGTTTTCTTTGTATTATCCAGATCAATGTCTCGCCGTCATGGTCTTTGTTGCAATCTCTACTTATATACCAACCTTTGCATTCTCAGTATAGATCAAACTAATAGGACAACTTGTTATATCAAATCAACCACCATAATAATTGAGGAGCTATAACGGAGATGGGGGAGGAGCACGCTCGCATAACAGATGTATCTCAACGAGAGGATGCTGGTCGTAGTAAAAAAAAGTGAATGTGCCATGCAACCTGCTGATGTTAACTAGATAAACAATATCTGGAAGCCTACAGGATGGAGCTCGAGGTAAGGCGATCGTAGCGGTGTCTACAATGCTCTTTAAGTGGACTACCGTGCTCTGGAGAGAACGATGTCTTTACGCAGTATTGTTCGCGGTGTATCAAGACCAGAGGGAAATTCTGTATTGAAAGAAGTTGCATTGCTCCAAATGGTTATAGAAACAGAAGACTATCTGATGAGCAGACCTCGTGTGCTATTGACGAGACGGAAGAAGAGGTGCACAGCAGAGTAAGGGAGCTTATTGACAACCACAGGGAGACGACCATCAATAAAATCTACATGTTACCTGCTCAGCCGCCACATATAAGAAGACAACTGAAACCGCTAACTCAAAGAATCACGGACGAATATGTGAGCGAATATTTGAGTAAGCAACCACGTTGGTTCGATGGGGAGGACATTAAGCCGTGGATAGCAAATGACCTAGGATGGGTAACACTTTCCCCCACGGAAGCCAAGTTATTCGAACTGAAGGAACTTGGACGGAAACAAGGTTTGTCCGGCTAATAATACATTCCCTGCCCCCACGCCGATGCCAACTCCAGAACGGCCAGATTAATTCTGCTTTGAAAAACAGGTGCCAAAATACGCCGCAGATGAAGTTTATGCTGAGCACGTGTTTAGCCTGTGAGAGGCTCTTCCTCATCCAACGAGAGCTTTATTCGCCAATTAATGAACTCATCAGAGAGGATATCACCATGACCAGTCTCTTCAATAAGCTGGACTTCGATTACTGGCGATGCTTCCCTTCTTCGAATCCTCCACACGCCATCTCCTTTAATGGTCTCTTTAAGAACTATCGGACGTCAGATTAATTGCGGTATCAAGCCATCGAGACACTTACAATCTAAGAATGACGCGGCAAAATTAATACACATATTTCCATCCCATGTTCCTTTACCCCTCTTTTTCACGGTGCTGGGTATCGTGGCGGTTTCCATCTCTTCAATTCTTTGCAAAATGCCATTTTGACTGCGGAACCCAACAATAATCTTGGGTACGCCAAGTAGAAACGACTGTATCCAGAACTTCATGAGCTTCCGCTCGAATGTAATCATATCTCTATCGTCTCTGATTTCTGCACTTGTCTTTAATTCAATCCAATTTATATGGGTATCATCCGAGGGTTTTTCATCCCATACTAGAATAAGATCAACATACCAATACACATATGCCATATTTCAGTACAGACTTACCTCCGTCGACCTCACCACCAATAATAATCGACGTATTTCCAATTCCTGTACGTACGACAGAGCAGTACTGTGCATGATTGTCCACGATCTCATTTTCACGACCCTCGATATAATCACGAGTCGTTTCACCCCAGGTTGCTGGAAGTAAGCATAATGTCTCGAACTTATAACCTATGACAGTTAACTAACGAAGGACAACAATAATGATGAAATACTGACCCCAATAACTCATCATATCCTGCGATGGTCTTCCTCGCCGCGGTACTTGCTGGGATTGGCGTGCTTGCGATTGAAGTTTATAGCTGTGGTTTTCTTCGATAAAGCTGGAGATCTTAGTTTGAGAAGTTAAAGAACATACTTCAGATCATACATGGTACCCTTAATATCATCAGCATATGGGAAATTTCGAGATGGCAAAGGCTATCCCACTTGATATAGAGTGGCATTCATCTCAAACCTTAGGGATTAAGTCAGCACCTGAATAGCTCCAAGGGAAGGAGACTTACCCATCCCTATCACTAAATATAGATGCCATTATCTACATTCTTAATCAGAGTTCTTGAAGAAGGGGCTGAATATTGTGAACCTTACTTTAGTCATCATGCCGCGCCAGGTAATGATGTCCGCATCTGCTTTCTTCCCGGTAGCCTGCTCATGAGCAATGACAGTTTTCAGCAAGCTGTCAAGGTGATCATCTGCTGTGTCATCAAGCTTCCTGAATGTTTCAAACCCCTTGGAAAGATCAGCTCCGAGGTCTGGAGGATAATAATACTTAATCCCGGAATCATCTAATCGAAACTCATGGTTTTTATCGTAAGAAAAACAAGCTATCTCCTGGGACATATCATGTTAACAATTGCTGAGCTGGTTCTATCCAGTCATATGGGCATATTGAAGGACAAGCCCCCTGAGTAAGAAACGCAGCTAGATAATAATCTAGCCATAGAAGCTTCAAACAAGCATATAATTCATAAAAAGCAAGAAATTTGAAGTGGCTTTAGTCAGGGGAACATAATCAAATGGATACATAAGATGTTCTAAGAATGCGACCACTAGAACGGTAAGAAACAGTATCATAGCATACCTTTGGACGCCGGATTGCAGCGCTGGCGCCCACAAAGCGACCAATCGGCTGAATCTCAAATACTCTGCTCATATTGAACGTATTTTCCCCGCATAAATGTTAGGACATGTTAAATATTCAAAGTCTAGATTGCCTAACAAAACTAGGTTTGGGTGAAGCTACAAATTGCCCGCCATCACCTCAAGACAAACAAGAAGCGAGCCTCGCGTCGAAGCCTTGCGCCGTCCCGCGACAAAACATACCACCGCGGCAACCTGTATATACAGCTCCTTCCTCTGACACAATGCCCGAGAGACGGCAGCTGGGGCCTTCGTCAACAAGTTCTCGGAGCACTACAGGTGTGCGCCGCAATCTATTCCATCACCACCTGGGTCGCCGTCCAACCACTGCTTCCACCTCTACATCCGCAGAAACGCTTCGGCTGGATATAGATACGGAAGTCGGAACTTCAGATATCGTGATCAGAGACAAGAATGGGGATTTTGACATTGGGGACCCGTCGATGCCGTATCTAGACGATGAAGAGGGAGGAGAAGGCGATCGCAGGGAAGATGAAAGTATGTACCTTCCGACCAATTTGGAATCAAGAATTTGGGCTAAATTTCTCATTTAGAAGAACGACAGAGGTTATCGGATGCAGTTAAGCATCACCGAGACAGAAATCGCGCTCCTAGTGAACCCGCTGGTAAGGCAATTCCATCATCAAAACCATGTTGATACTGACGCTTGCTAGAACTGTTAGAGGCAGTGAAAGCTAGTTTGCGAGCAAAAGTAGCAGCCCTCTCGGAGGATAATTGGATGTATGAGAAAGAGGAAGAACCTGTCGTTCGATAACGTGTTCATGAAGTTAATTTTGGAGGTTCATATTTGTCGGTGTTAGAGATACCCCCGTTTTTATATCACTAGAGGCAGAAGTATAGGCTAATTCACGTCTTTCTATTTCACAACTAATCTAGACCCTCAGCTACAGGCGCAGACGAGCCAACACGCTTTGGCTGAGTCTTTTTGGGAGCGCTTCCCGCACCAGGTGCGCCGAAGAGCCCTCCCATCATATCTAATAGTGGGTTACCTTGCCTTGGTCTCTGTATACCGAAATACATCTCTCCAATGGTAACAAGTGCCTCATCCCAAGTACCTGCTTCCTTGATATGGTCTGCATATTTGCTCCTCAGTTGTCTGAATAACTCTGCTGTACCTTTCTGGCAAGCTAAAAGTAGAAGCCCCAAAAAGTTTAGTAGAGGAAGGCTCGGATATATCTTAACCCCCAGATCGCCGCTACTAACATCCTGAATACCTAGGCTCTTATTATCTTCAACTAATTTGCTGGTAAATAGCTGTAACGATCTATTGGCGTCGCGGACATTTCCTGTTATAAGGTATGGGAATATAGCTCTTGCGGCATATAAGGGCGCCGTGTGCGAATCATCTTGGGTATACCATTCATACTCCATTTTGATAAGAATCTCAGGAGAGTCCTTTGTGCCAAGAATCAAATGCCTTTCTGCCTCGTATGCATCGTGCTCCTCAGCGTATAGAGATCCAGCAACGTGGTGTAGGTCTGGCTCTCCCGCGGGGTAGTCACCACATTTTGCGGACCATCTGCCAGGTGTTAGCTATACTAGCTCCCACTTAAACCTGGCAAACACACATTATCATCTCACTTATGAACTTCTTTCTTGTGGGTTCTTCGCTATCAAATAGTCGTAGAAGAGTCAGCAGTTTGCCTTTATTGACCGAATCAGGCCTAAGCTCCGCATCTTTGTAGGTGTCCACGAGAAGTATGCCCAAATCACCACCACTTCCGCCTTGTCCGGCAGCTAATAATGACTGGGTCACATTGAATAAAATATCAATCGCAGGTTCCCAGCTTTGTTGTTTGATATAACGGGCAGCAACGACCCTGGTTTGTTGCTGTGCTTCGTAATATTGACCTTCTTTGATCCTGTCAAGTTCTTAGTCAAATACGAAAAGAAACAGAGAGGGGCTTTATTACTTTTCTTGCAGTCGCGCAATTATCTTCTCAATTTTAGCACTCATCTTGGCGAGAGAGTGTGAAGATCTGGGTGTGGATAACAGAGTGCATGGAGGGGTTATGTTGTGACGAAAGATGACTACTATCGGGAATTTGGAGGGGCCTCTGTTCAACCGTCATAAGATTTCATATGTCCATTTTTGCCACGCTGTGTTGGTTTAGTGGTAAAATCAACGCTTCCCATCCGCTGTCTTCTGGACAGAGTACATGAATGCGTTGGCCCCGGGTTCGATTCCCGGACATAGCAAGAGTTCAAAAATTTTTTTTTTTTTGCTTATATGAAATAGTATGGCATGAAGGAGAATAGTGAGTAACAACGTTGCCTATGAGCTTCGTGAAATCTTTTTGAGAATGAAGCGAACAGTCGGTATAATCGTTGTATTCAGATCTTTATACCGAACTGGGATCGGTCAGGTTACAAGCAGTGCAGTAACTGAAGAAGTAGAAATGTGTGCAGAATTACACAGAAATTGAAGTTAAGTACTGTGAGACCAAAGAAAAGCTAAAGCGCATTGCTTCGAATTCAGTTGCATTCATTATTGTAGGTTTCCTGATGCCTCGATATTCTAAAAATACATGCGTTCTATCTTACAACTAAGGCTACATAAAATACAGTAGGAGTGTCCCTATCTCCGTGCGTATATATACATATATAGACCGAGTTATAAAGGAGCAGAAAAGTATCATTTCATACTCTCATCGTCACTTGAGGAATCAGCCTTTGTGTCTGCAGCAATTGATGTGGCTGCATCCAAAGAATATAGCGTCTTTTTCGGCGTCTCCTTATCAACTTCATTTTGTTTTCTCCTCCAATCCCTGCCTCTTTGAACAAGGTCTGCAAGTTTCCGCATATATGCATTATTATATGGGGTTGATGCAGTCTCTTCGTCATTTTGAGCTAATGCGAGACGTCGTCTTCTTTTCGTAGCTTCATACAATGTCCTTGCCCTTGCCTGGCTGGGTACCTCTGATAGTGCATATTCAACAGTCCATTTGTCTGTAGACTTGAGATTTTCTGGCCGTAAGACATATTCGTCATTGACTTTGTTACGGATGGTTAGAGTCATGGCTAAGATGTCATCAGAAGAAGAAATTTTTGACCCGGACTCGTCTATTTGGGCGGCAGCTTCATCTTCAGCGGCGTCGGTGGCATCGAGTGTCGCTGGGGTGGATTCTTCGACAGGTGCTTCACCCTCAAGAGAAGCTTCATCTCTGGAGATATCGTAATCTGGAGTATCAGAACTATCTCCCTCCTGCTCTGGAAGGACGGTTGTCTCTCCAGGACTCCGGTTCGTGCCTTCATGGTTTCCACTTCTATCTTCGAGCTCCAAATTTTTCTCCGGGTCTTGGTTGTTGTCAACTTCTCCCTCATCCCGTGTCTCTCTATCATCTCCCTCCACTCGCTCAATATCAGTCTCTTCGTCGGCTTCTCCCAAACTAGATTCGTCTGTATCCTCCTCCAGTTCCTCAGAAGCATCGATTGAGTTGTCAGCATCTTCATCCTCATCTTCCTCTTCGTCATCCTCGTCCTCATCCTCATTTTCACGTGCATCATCTTCATCGTCTTGTGTGCTATCATTCACACCCGATGCGGACAATATCTCATCTAGTAATCTATCAGCTTGTTCAGATGTTTCTTCTGAGCTTAAGACGTCGCTTTGTTCTATAAGGCCGCGGACAATCGCTCTCGCATCTTCCATGCTAGTCTCATCTTTCTCTATGCTCTTCTCCACCATACTCCGAATCCTCTCCCACTCGATGCTCTTCATCTCTTCGTCTGTATTATCATTATCCAAGCCAAGTACCCGGCTCTCAAACTCTCTTATAGCATCCTTGTTGGTTTCCTGAATCTCTTTTATCCTCTCTTCTTCAATTGGTTCGGCGAATATATACATAAATGGTGTCTTGGCTTCTCTGGTCTCGAAATGAATGCGCAACGACTTTTCAGGAAATCGAGAAGTTGCCCGGTCAAGAATACGGTTCAGCAACTCTAGACTAAGCTTGAATTCAGAGTCTCCAGTGGTGGGATCTTCAGTTCCGTGCAAAGCCAAATCCATCTCTGGTTGACTGATGTACTGGAAACCAAAAATACGCTCAGTGTTATGATAAGCAACGAAAATACCGTCCATTCTTCCCATTCGCACTTGTAAAGAGTATTTAAGAAACGCTGCTCGAATCATGTCATAGTATTCTCGCTCGTAAGACTCCCATTCTCCATGCCGGGAGCGAATTTCATAGCCCATCCCTTTCTCATACTCTCTCGCATCCATGCGTATCGAGACGACAGCTCTAGTCTTTAGGTCAAACATTCCAGTTCCTGGCAGCCGAGGATCATGTGCATCCAGTTGAGATCTCATGAGAAAATCACCCATTGTCGTGTAATGGAACGATTCAGCTTCATCGCGTTCTTCTTCAGTAATCTGATCTGAGTTTACTTTCCGGTATTTTTCATACTCTTCAGTAGAAAGGGTGAGTAGCTTTTCCATTGATTTACCAAGCATGCTCAAGATATTAGCAGTATCATATTGTTTATCAGCATCTATTGCGTATGTTCCATCTCTCCAGCGCAAGAAAATAGCTGAAGGTCCTCTCTGCAAAGCAGTGAAGGACTTGAGTTGAACTGGGAAATCTTGTGAAAGAGTCCCTGTGTAGATTGGGCGCCATTGAGACAGCAGGAAATGGAAATGTGCGAGACCCGACGTCATACTCGAAGTAGATCCTGAGTACTTCTTTTTCTCTGCGGTTGCAATGTCCAAAAGGGAAGTATCTTGCGAAGAGGTGATATACTCCTTTAAAGCATTGAAATCAAACTCACTGACAGGCATAATAGTCTGAAGGTAAGGGTCAAAATTATACACCCGTGATCGCGGATCCTGGAGCTGGTAAACGCCCGGGTTGAAGAGAACCCTTTCAAGGCCATAAGAAAGTTTGGGAACAGGAGGCTGTGGCTTCTCGACCGGTGTCAAGTGTAAGTTGGCAGAATCAATCGTCTCTATCTCCAGTGGAGTTGTACCGGGTCTCTTCTCCAGGGTAGAAGCCGACTTCATACGACGGATGCGCGAAGAATCTTTACCTTCCAGAGCATCTCGGAGGGACTGGAAAGTCTTCAGTCGTGTTGACAGTGTCTCACCAGTCTCGCTCAAATCAGAAACTGCAGTATTTTTAGATTTGCGCCCCTTTTTAGAAGTTGGTTTACCATCTGGCTTCCACTCGAGATTATTGCGAAGGTATCGTAGAACTCGGGACCTCTGTTGTTTTGATAATTTACCCTCGCTAAGGAGTTTGATAAGATGGCTATTCATTGGAATGCTAATCTCTGGAGCTTCTTTTAAGATATCCTTTGATATCTGAGTGGCGGATTCTTTCTTATCAGCATCCTTCTTCTTCTTCTTCTTAGAGGGCTGTATTATTTATTCAAGTTAGTCTTTGCTTCCCAAAGGTCGAAAATTATGATACCTTTTTTTTAGCCTTCTCATCTGAAACTCCATCTTCACTGCCTTCTTTAGTCTCATCTACTTGTTCTGCTAAAGCCTGCCTTAGTTCTTGCAGGCTTGACTTCGATTTAGAAATTGGCTTCGCGGCGGCAGCCCTCAATAGCTTTTTACGTGCATTTTTTGTCAGACCTTCCGGTATAGTTATCTCATTTGGAGTTGCGCTAGATTCTTGGGCATCTTTGACTTCGTCTTCGGTCGGGGTTGTGGAATATGTCTTTGCATGCGGGGGTAACTGAATTCCACCTATTCCTGTGCGAATTCGAGGGCCTGGGAGACGAGAAACGGCACAAAGACATCGCAAACAAATGTACGCAGGCTTAATTCTTGAGCTCCTGTGAGTAATATGGGAAAACATAGAAACGACTAAGGTCCCCGTATTATCAATTGAGCGACGATAAAGTTCGAACCTTCAAAGATTTTCATTAGAAAAATAATTTATTGCCGTCATAGTATGGGAGGCGGGACTTGCCGATTGGTCAAAATACTTTATTCGGTTTTACTGGCTTTATGGGCTTCTAATTATCTCAAGCTAGTTTCATGTTTCACACCAGCACAACTAGGTGTAACATGGAAGAAGCTAGAAATCTATAATTTTTTAAAAATTTTGCGCTTTAATTAATCATTTGTTCTACTGCACAACACTAGATCCCGAAAATTCATCATAATAAGTAGTTGTACATCTTTTGAGAAAAAAGCAAATGGGTATATACTCTGCCAACATTTATGCCATAACCCAAACCCTAACATATAAAGCAGATCTAGCCAGCCATGAGGTTGATGCAACCATTAATCCTTAACGCCAAGTATCTCTTCTTTCCTAGTCAAGCCAATATTATAGGGTAGATGTACATTAGTATCATTCAGGTAGCGCTGATTCTTGAGCATAACGTAGGGCTTCTTGATATCTGCTATGAGCCTCGGCCTTCTTCCCCTGAACGTCATAGCATTGTGCAAGCATGCCATCAGCGACACTCATCCAGAGAGTGCTCCCCGATTTCTGCGCATGGAGAGTTGCGGCCAGCGCGCTCTTCTCAGCTTGTTCACCAACAACATTCGTGAAGAAACGATTGCACATGACGCTAAGAGTTATGCAGAGAAGTTGAGTATTAGCTGTAGATTTAGCCCCGTTAAGTGCCGCACTTAAGTAGGTCTTAAGCTTAAATAGTTGTGCTGGTGGGTTTGTATTGACCGTGGCCATAACAATGTTGTAGGCTGTGCGGATATCCTGACTTGGATGATTTGCGCATAAAAGTTCGAGTCTTGCAAGCAATGCCGCGTTGTTATCTGTGTCTTGCCTACCTCTCTCTTGTAGAATCCAGACTACGTTGAGAGCAGCCAGGATAGCAAGGTAATGTTCAACCTTGTCAATGGATCTTAAAGGGGAAGTATCGGCTTGTGGCAGGACAAATTCTGCTCCCTCAAATATCTTCAGTGCTCGCTCAAGGTTGCCAATTCCTTGATAGTATACGCCAGTTAGATACGTGACGAAGAGCCCAACAGAGCCTGTCAAAGAAATATCAAGCTTCTTCGGTCCGTTTTTAATATCGTCTAAGCTCTTCCTGAGGCTGACCCAATCAGCTTTAGCTGCTGCACAGAATGCTATATAGATAGTGTAATAACACCACACCTGGCCGCGCCAATTCAATTGCGTAACAAATTCAGGCAAAGGTCCTGATAAAGCCCGCAAGTTCTGGGTGGATGCTTAATGGGCTAATCAGTAACTGCAGTACAATTATGAAAAGGGATTTTACCT